ATGCACTATACTGATTATACCAATCCACACGTTTGGCTTCATTTTATGTTCAAAGACGGCCTTCGTATTTTATTCATACAAACCAGTGAGTTGAAATTAAAACAAAATTGCACAGCAACAATTCTTTTCCCAGAAGAACCCTGTCAGGCCCTGGCCTTCTAGCAATGCGCAGTAACGATTTGCGCATTGAATATAAAAATAAATGGGTCGACATCTGTTAGCTTGATGTCGAATGAAGGTGTGTTGTAAGATACTTTTTTAATTTTTCGGTTAGTTTGATTTTGATCGAAGATGTTGAGTTTATGTCAGCAGAGACTGATGTGCAACATCCAAAGGTAAGTACATTTGTTGTTCCTTCTTCTTGGTATGATAGTAGTAACAACATAATACAGATAAGCGAGTGTTTGTGTTTTTATACAAATTTAATCACCCCCATAGTTGACCTCACGTCCATCGTGATAAGATAGAACGAAAGACGGATTTGGTAGTTTGTCTTATTACAGATAGCCTTTTGCACTTATCATGAGGTCATATGTCATGGGGTGAACAAATCGTGCAGTCACAGTGTGTGGAATAATGGCCTTGATTTCATTTCCGAATAAGTATGTTGCATTTTGAGTTATACGGATATAAGCATTAGATCGTGTTAGTAATAACTTGCGAAAACGTTTTACTCATTGGCAGTGAAGTAATCAAAATGCACTCTTTGTTGAAGTTACAGTCGCTATTAAGTGTATTTTCGATAGGCCTTTTTTAACATAAATTTTGCACTCGTTTTGTAAAGTAGAACATCATTTAATTTCTCGTACTGTAGGCACTCACCCAGTAAAAATTGTTTCCTTTATGAATACTGTTGAGTGCAGACCATTGAAAAGAAATAATAACTGGATTACAGGAGGAATAGAAATACCTTGTAAATGTAAAAGGAGACTTTATGTTGACAACGTGAATGATAGGTATCCAAAAACGAAAGCATTTCATATGAATACAAGAATTCAGACAGTTATAAAAGGCTAAGAGGTAGAGGTGGACCCTGAAGCTGGAGCCAGCAAGTTCCTCCAAAACATTAGTAGCTACCTACCAGACTAAGTGTTTATAATAGCACAGAAGACCACAATCTAAACCTGCACTGCCATGAAAACTTAAGATCTCGTATAAGAAAAGGAACAGTTTGTAAATACAGTGGTCACGCACTTAGCTGCTTTGGCATACATCTGTATGACATTGTCTGTCAACAGACTTGTTGGAAAATTAAAATTGTTTCACTTTGCTTACTAGACGCAATGTATAGAAAACATACGTGTGTGAAAATAGCCGTGTTTTTTTCGTCGCTCTCACTGCAGTACTTTAATAATGCAATATTATCGAGTTATGCACACTATCCCCCTCCACTCGTCATTACGTTAATACAACATGTTTCAGTTTTCATATGAACACCATCAGGTACATCCATGCAATGTGCAAGGCAGTATACAGTACAAGGTAGTGGTAGTTATCAGTAGAGTTAAACTATCTTTCTTTTGTTTCAGTTATAGGTAAAAATGAAGTTACAATTATAATTAAAATGTAAATCAAGATTAAACTGATTCCCTGCTGGTGGTATTCACATCATTTAGGTCTGGTTGTTTTTGTTAATGGATAAGAATGGAAGGAAACAGTACAGTTTGTAATATAATGCAATGGGATGCTTCAGTACAGGATTATACATAAACTTGTTATCTTGTCACCAGTTTTAGATTTATTGGAGTGTGTGCCACATGGGTTTGTTTGCATGTGGTTTTTTTTATGATGCTGTCAGTAGCAAGACTGTATAAAATTCAGTGGTAAGGTTAGTAGATTGATAATTTGGAATAAAGTGGTCGTAAACCTAATTGAGGTACTGTCATTGCATTTGCATAGAGGGACTAAGGAAAACCATGAAAATCCTCAGCCTGATAGGTGGTGTCCTGGCCAGGGTTCAAACAGAATATCTCCCAAATATGAGTGAACAGTGTTAGCGCTATGCCAACCCATTCGGTTCATGGTATCACAACCCAGATGACATCAGTCTGTACTTTCATTTTCTTGATACATAACTGTTTTAGAATTGTTTGATGGTTGATTAGTTCGAACATCTGACAAGTCAACAGGACACTGCTGTGTACTGAATGCTACTTATGCTTGGTATCAGGGGTTCTGCAATTTAAATTTTTAATGAGGGATTTGTTGTAATTAAATGATGTATCTTTACAATATGATTAGTTTACATATGTATTTACATAATGCAGTAAACTCCATGTTATCCATCATCCAAACATCCATAATTTTCGCAAAACTGGCAAAATATGTCAAAGAAAATTTACCACATCTGTGAAGTTGCTTCAGAAACAAAGTTGCAGTGTACACATGTTCACCTGCTATGGGCACCACCAGCAGTGTTGCCTGTGGTCTTCACACTATAGGTCCGATTACAGTTGTAGTCATCTGTGATTACAGTAGAGGCCAGTTGAATATGTGAATGAATACATTACTGTGCCACTGGAGAAGACTCCTACAAAAGAACCAAAGCAGAAATATGTTGCTTTGCGCTTAAATGTGAATGGGTTGAAGGTAGACTTCCAGCTCCTTAAACCATAACTTCTCATGATGGAACATGAATGAATGAATGAATGTATGTATGAGGGGTAGGCCTCCTCAGCCCTTACATTGTGACCTACAGTGGTCTATTGTGCTTCCCCTTTTGATTATCCCCTCAGCAATCCTGCACTTTGAATGAAGCACAGGATTTTACATGGGGCATCAAGATAGTCACTTGGTTCCATAAAGTATTGACCCAAGTGATGTAATCTTAAATAAGCTAAGGCCTCACATTCACACAGGATATGTGAGGCTGTCTCGTTTTCTTCTTGACATCTCACAAGTGGGACTATCACTTAGTCCCAGTTTGAAGAGGTGTCCTTTAAGGTGACAGTGTCCTGTAAGTAGTCCCGCCACCCATCATAGCTGGTTCCTGTTTAACTTCAACAGTTCCTTCGCTCTTTTAGCTGAGGTCCTCGTATGAGTCCCTTTGCTTGCCCGAGTCCAGTCAAGGATCCCCAGTATTTCTTGTGTTTCATATTTGTCCAGTCCCTGATTGCACAGGCCGCTTCAGGTCCTATGAACGGATGTTCAGCTCCAATCTTAGCTAATTGGTCTGCTGTTTCATTTCCAGCAATACCCTCATGTCCCGGCACCCATATCAGTTATACCCTGTTATGTTTGGCCAGTTCCATGAGGGTTTGGTGGCAATCCCAGACCAATTTTGAGTTGATCTGGTGTGTGTCAAGCGCTTTAAGTGCAGCTTGGCTGTCAGATAGAATGTAGATGTTCCTATTTCTATAGTTCCTATGTAAATGCTCCATAATACATGCCTTAATTGCATATACTTCTGCCTGGAATACTGTCTTGTACTGCCCAAGGCTGAAACTAAGTTTCCGCCTCGTGCCGTAGCAGTATACACCAGCTCCAGCACCCTCATTTATCTTGGAACCATCTGTATACCAGATCAGTCCCCTTTTTCTGTTGGGCCGAAACCCGTCTTCCCATTCACTCCTGTCAGGCAATCTGACTATGAAGGGTTTTTCATATACATGTCTCAGTATCATCTTGTCAGACCCCATTTGTAATATGGGTTCTTTTTTCATGTCCTGAGTTATGTATGCATGGCCAAAACCATTGGATCTAGACTCCAAGCGGAAAATTCTGGTTGTCCAGGATTCAGATTTTCTTCTTAACACATTCATAGTCATGAAAACATAAAAAAATTATACACTGTACTTTTGCATTATGTTGTGGTATCACAGGCTTTATATTGCACCATTGTCATGCAGCAGTTAGTGTTGTACTTATGTTTAGTGAAGCTGCATGCAGTATTTGTCATATATAGGTGATATGTTTTGATCAGAGTTGGTTATCATGAGGCCATACATTTCATTAACCCATGAAATACTCATCATAGGTACATCAAACTGTATTATGTCTAAGAAGTACTTATGGTGTCATTTTTTAGGATAAGGGAATATAAGGCTTGTTGATGTCTGTATATCGAAACATGTAGACTGTAAGTGTGAATAGGCCTACTGTATGTAGCTTTAGTAAGGTTTATGTATGTACAGTATTGATTGATATGTGGAAATGGTGCAGTATGAAGCCTTTTATTAAGGTACGTTTTCTTGTACAAGGGATGTTAGACCTTGATACTTAACTTATCAAAGCATTGGTCAGAAGGAACTGAAAGAAACTTATGCTGTGGGCCTATAATGTTGACTTTGTATAGTAATTAGTAGGTGTGAAGTTATTAAGTGATATCTAGCCTATCAGATTTTGAAAATTGTAAAGCATGAATATTTGCGTGAAACAAAATGAATGAAAGATCGCAAAGGTTTGAAAATAAACTGCTTACTATGGTAGTGGTTTCATGTATTAATTCCTTATATTGTTATGTTTCTAGGTTTAATTACCGACTTCTTAGTTCAGTTGTGCCAGAGGTGAAGATTGACGATTTCCATGTTAAAAATGAACCCATTTTATGTAAGTTTCAATATATGGTGTACAAAATCTATCATCTTATGCAGATTACTGAAAATTGTGTATCTTTATTATTTGTGTAAAGTAACTAATTGATATTTTTATTCTCATTATAGCAGAGTTACCATTATTTGATTTTAGTTTTCAGTACAGAACTTCTTTTTAATAAAGTTACTGTTGTAGGCAGTACTCGTAACGCCAGACTTTCACTCTAATTAGTATTCTCTGATGTGTACTTCTTTCTTCTGCTGTGCACGTAGACAACTCAGTCCTTTCAGTCTTCACAGTGCAAACATCATTTATTTACATCTGAGCTATCAGCATGGACTTTTGACCTTGCAGAGAAGATAGTAGTATGCTCAAGAGTAGACATTAAAGAGAGTGGAAGGTCCAAGTTCTGGGAAGGAAAATAACCATTGGGAACAGCAAGAATTTGGGGGAGGAGCGACCATGATCACATCAAACCACATGCTTTCTGATTCATCATTCAGTGGTCTCAAAGTGCCTCATACACATTGATATGAGTGGCAACATCATCTGTTGCCATACATCTTGTGAGACATATACATATCTGTGTAGGGCACACACATGCTGATAAAGAATGACACAGTGAAGCCATGAGTAGCTAGCGCATTCCATCACAATTCTATATCAATAATAGAAGTGTACCTGTCTCGCAAGAATTTCTGGATTTATACCTCTTAAATTATCTGAATGCGCATTCATAGTGCTTTGAGTCTGACAGCATGTTTGAAAAAGAAGAGGGAACCGAAAGTATGTTGCATTTACTATGATCAAGACTGAAAAGAAAATAGTGCCATGAAGGATGGTGTAAGTTTGGAAGAAGACTTTTTATGCCATTAGAAAATAGCTATAAAACTTGAAATTTTTTGCTGCTAACTAATCTTAGTTACTGGCTTAAATTGTACGTGAACCATGTGCTTCTATTTATAAGGAACTTTACAGACAAGTTTGCAGGTAATACCAATTTTACTTGGATCTCAATTAATTAGGGGTTAGAAATGTTTTGAAAATCTGGTAGCCAGACAGATGCTTTGGTCACCATAAAAAGGTGAATCGTTATTTTCCTACAACCTGCTGCGGCTCTCACTTATGACTGTTGTGCGAGATGCATTTTTTCCTTTTGTACTGTTTGCCCTAAACACATGTAGGCTAGGCATGACATAAGGAAAAGAGCAAAATTTAAAAGGGAAATTAATTATTATGGCTTACCATTTATATTGGTCTTAACTTCTTTGGATGTGGTTTTACATTTCTGCTGTGCTGTAAATAACCAAGTGGCATTACCTGAATTCTAAAAGCAAACTGAATGTGGAATAGGAAAATTAATTGCCAGCCAACATTTTTTTGTTGCCACTGGCTACCAGCTGTTGTTGAAGTAAGTTCTAAACTAGTAGTTTGGTGAAAAGTACTGCCCACATGTATGCAGAAGTATGAGTTTGTGAATAACTGAACCTTGGATGAAATTCATTTCTGTCATGCCCTGGATTCAGGGCTGGAATCCAGTTGTCCATGCAACTAGAAGCTAGTTGAATCTAAGAATTCTGATTTCAGTTTTTAAGTTTTCCATGATAAACTTCATTGCTTAGAATTTCTTCCACAATTACTCATTGTCTTAGGTTACATGTGGATTGTTTGCCTGCCATGCCAAATTTAGCTTGCATGTTGTTCTCTGATGGAGGTGAACAATTTTTTTTTTTGCTGTGACACCAGCAAGGTTGGTTAGTTCATTCAAGTTTGAAGAAGAGAGTCCTTTGTTTTGGAGCTCGGTGTTTCTGAGGAAAGTGGATGCATGCTTCCTGGAGAACCAACATGTAAAAAGTAAAAAAAGTAAAGCTATCCCTGTACCAGGCCGTGAAGACCCATAGGGTTGTGAGACGTTGAGGGTCCCACATTATCTAGATAATCAGCTCAAAGATGGTGGTAAGATTGTCAGCCTTACGCCCCGGCTGTGCATTACTCCCCAGGAAAATTATTTAATTAATTCCTGGTACACATTTCTGTTAGAGGCAGAATGAACCCCAGGGCCATAGTGCAGCTGGAAGGGTCAGGTCAATTGAAAAAATCCAATAACCTCATCGGGACTTGAACCCGCGACCTTCCGGCTTGTAGCATAGCCCCTCAACCGACTAAGCTACCGTGTGCATCATTGCTAATACTGTTGTGGTTTTCAGGGCTTTCCTGAAGTCAGATATGTAAATAAAAAATGAAGAACACCACCTTTAGGACTACATACTGTAGGATGTTGAGATGGTATAGTCTGGTGAAACCACTGCCAGCACTACCTTAATCTTCACTGCCATGAAAACTGCAAATGTTTGATAAAAAATTTATGTTTCAGGCATGAAAAGTGAACACAAAAATAACATGATAACCATGCACATATGCATAAAACCACACGAGGATGATTGGTAGATTGAAACATGTCATAGTGAGAGTAACAGTAAAGTTAATATTGTCATTGTCTTAATCTCATTAAATTTATATCCATTTGTTGCATAGACTGGTAGCCATACCACAATTCTCTCATTTGCCACTAAATCAAATTCATGTATGTTTTTTTTTTTTGCGGGGGGGGCTATTTTCAAATTGTCGGTAAAGTTCAATGGGGCATAGTGCAATGAAGTGTACTTATGTCTGTATGTATCCTTTGCAGATGTTTTGTACTGTCATTCTGCCCACCCCCTCCCAATCATAAAACTGCACTGAAACCCATGACCACTTCTTTCTACAAGTGTTTGTTTGAATGTTCTTTACAATTCAATTGTAAATTCCTCCTAGAATTCTCAGTCACTTAATATAGTCCTGCTTCAGTAGCTATATGGTACATTTTGGCAAGTTGGCAGAGGTACAGGCAAGTTTCACAACAGTAAGGTGAAAGTTGAGACATGTTTTGGTTTTGGTTTCCGTTTCTAGGTTTCATGGTGTCCTGTCCATGACAGGACACTGATACATGCATCACATCTGACACTGAAACTTTTCACATGAAGCATCCCCACACAGTCTGCATCTTGACACACGTATTGCAACATGTATCAGTCTGCAGGATGCCCTAAATATATGACAATATGTATCTTATGTAGTGCACAGAGCATCACTAAATGATTTATGACTTGCTACTATGTGTATGTGCATCTTTTGTAGTTCACTATGCAGTCATTCTCATCACATTTTGGTCTATGTGAGCTCAAAAATTGATATACCATCATTAAATAATCTGCAGATATATAAAAAAATTAATAATCTTGTTTCTGTAATGAATAATTTATGATGGGGTATTATACAACAGATTTTCAAGTACTGATAATTGTAATTCTTAATGCCTAATGGTTTATTTATTAAGCTTACCTGAACGGGAGCAGGGAACGTAAAGAATTGGTGGCAGCATTGCAAGAAACTGCTGCTACTTGTGAGGATGTGCCCATTGTTATCGGAGATGAAGAAATTCGAACAAATGATGTCAGATATCAAGTTATGGTGAGTTAAATGTTTGATGATATCATTAATTAAAATTAGGTTTCAGTAGAACTTAACTGTGTTAATGGAAAACTGAATTGTTTTTGTCATTCGTTTTATAATGTGTAGAATGTTAGTTGATTGAACTTATTGAGTGTGATGGTGGTGTGTTCCCATTATCGTTACATATTAGCGGGAGTAAAAATCAGGAAGTGAGTAGCTATTTCAAATAATGTTAAACATGTGTATACAGTTTTTGATGTTTAGACTTGTGATTCTCAAATTTATTCTGTGCTTGATCATTTTTGCATGATAGAAATCCCAAATGTCCAATGTCGTACTCTCTAAAATAATGTTGGAAATAGTGATAGGAATTATCTGTGCCGTAGCTAAGGCTGTTAGACACCAGTTTATCATCGTGAAAATGTGGATTCAGATCAAAGGCAGCCTGTTTGGGTATATGATAAACAGAGTGTCCAGCACTGGTGTAGGTTTCTCTGTGAATACTTTGGTTTTCTCCTTCCAGGAAGCATTTCATCCGTGTCCCATATCTCTGTCATTATCATCATATTGGGCTGGTGCAGAGGCTGATGCATAGTTAGGTAATAGTAAGGTGGTTGGTCTAGAGGTAGATGCAGAGAGGACTGAGCGTATGTTCATGCAAACAGAATGTAAGATAAAATCATCATAGAGATGGGGAATTAGTGTCTCCAAAATGTTGCAGGGTGCAAATATTTGGGAGTGATGCTAGCTTGGTTGGGGCACTATGCTACAAGCCGGAAGGTCGTGGGATCGAATCCTGGTGAGGTCATTGGATTTTTTTCAATTTACCTAATTCTTCCAGGTGCACTCTGGCCCTGAGGTTGACTCAGCCTCTAACAGAAATGAGTACCAGGAATATTATTGGAATGTTCTTGGGGCTAAAGGCCCAGCCGGCTGGCATAGTGCTAACAACCTTACCATCTATGAGCTGATTGTCTAGAAAATGTGGGAACCTCAACGTCTCACAACCCTATGGGCCCCCACGCCCTGTTACAGGGATACCTTTACTTACTTGTACTTTGCTAGCAAAGCAAAATTTTATTGACCAAGAAATTAAGAGGAGATTGACTTTGAAGAATGCCTGCTACGAAGCAGATAGAAATGTTGTCTTCCAATGTCCTGTGTAAATGTGAAAATGAAAGTATACAAAACTGTAACTTTAATCTGTTTAGTGTTGGTGTGAAACTTTCTTTTTCACTATAATAGGAGGACATAGGTTATGGGTGTTTGAGGACAAGATGCTGAGGAGAATATTTTGGTATAATAAAGGGGTAGTGACAGAAGATTTGAGAAAGTTGCATAATGAGGAGATTCATAATATATACTCTTCACCAAATATTACAATCTTCGAAAAAGGGAGAATATGAATAGGAACTATAGCACACATGTGAGAGATGAGATTGTGTACCAGATTTTAGTTGAAAACCCAGAAAATCACTTGGAATTGAAATATTAAAATGGATCTTTGATGAATCATGTATGTGTGGACTTTAGTCATCATGCTCAGAATAGAGTGTAGTAATAGATTTTTGTGATTGCAGTAGTGAACTTTAAGTTACATGAAAGATGGAAAATTGCTTGACTAACAGAGCATTGTGCTTGATGGAGTTTTAAGTACAGTGGTTGCATTGTGAAATATATAGGGAACTTAAGTAGTTGGACATACAAAGAATGAATGCTTACTGTAGTCAGAATTTACAGAAAATGAAATTTTACCATTTTTTCTAAACTTCACAACACCCTACATCTTATTATGTTGAACTTTTTTGTGTTATTAATGAAAATATCTGCATTTTGGTGGAATCTTTTACATTACTAAAGTTCAGAGTTAGGTGAGTTTAAAGGTATGTGAAAATAAAATAGTGGGTGATTGTTAAATGTACATGGAACTTAATAGAGAATGAAGGGTTCTCTTAAGATACCTGCCACTAGGCAAAAAATTTTAGAGCATCGAGTTCATATGGAATGTAAAAATAAAATTTGGTTTGGAATGGGAAATTGAAAAGAAAGGTTTGGTTGAATTTTGCATATTCATTTGATGATATTTCTGTTTTATGTTTCCAGCCTCACAGTCATCAGAAGAAAATAGCTAAATTCTACTATGCTACATCGGTGAGTACCGTTATGTAAACATTTGCTTTTGAACATACAGAGCTTCAAATTAAATAACAGTGAAAGGTGCTTTGTTAGATAAGGTATAACTTTAGAAGTTTTCTGTAAATCTGTAAAGATGTTTAACCAGTAGCAACATTTATGTGATCTTGGTGATTACTCTCTTGAAAGAAATCAACAATGTCCAGGCATATGTTTATAAAATGTGTGTAATTGGGATATTTAGTTTACTTTTCCAGCCATACTTCTGACTTCCCGTTCATTTATTCATATGAAAGTTTATATTTTGTGTTACCAATAGCAACTTATTATGTTGACTTTGCAACAAGCAGATGCTTGGAACACTTCATAATACAAAAATTTCCACTTCAGAATATCCTGATCATTTGACAATTATTTGAAAGTTCACAACACTGCATTTATGTAGTTGTGTTTATATGTGGTATGTATGAGGAATACGAGAAGGACGTGTAAAATGAAGATTATTGTTTTTCTTAAGGTTACTTTTGTCCGGAATGTGATGCTATGTAGCCCTTCAGAAAAGACTGACATTTCAAAGTAACCTGCTCCCTTCATCTCCAGATTGCATGGCATCACATCCTGTAAGACAGTACAAGAGAGCATAGGTTGCCTTATGAACTTCTGTTTCAAATGAAATGAGATAAATGGAATCTTATTGAAATAGGAAGGATAAGGTGCTGGATTCTCAGTCCAGAGGACTTTAATTTAAGACGAGCTGTTTCCATTGCAGATTTTTCTGCATGACTTAACCATCTGCTATCCATCACAAAGCCTGAATTTGAGAAATATAAGATGCTCCCAGGCAGACATAGACCAGAATTGACAAAAACATGTATGGCATGTAGCGCACATGGAAGAAACAAAAACGAATTCAGAAATTTTGTGGGAAAATAATATAAAGTGGTCACTTGCTAGACCTGATTGTAAATTGGAGGATAATATGTAATTATGTTGTGTGGGAGGTAAATTTGACTGAACTAGATCAAAGTAATAGCCAGTTTTGAGTCTTGTGATGCTGAACCTTTGGGTTTCATAACAAGGAATTTGTTGAGGACCTAAAACCCATCAGCTGGTAAAGGGACACTGTGTTTCAGGAAGTGGTATAGTTTGGCGGCATGATTTCATTTGGTTACAATTTCTTAAAGGTTGGGAAAGTATATTATTATTTCTTCCTTATTCCATTACATCTGTAGTAGGCTATAGCCTTAGATACAGAATTGTGTCAATTTATCTTGCTAATTCTATCAAGCAATTGTCAAAAAGACTTATAACATATGACAGTGTTTGTTTACATCATAATACAATTACTCTCTGGTACAATACACTCAAAATTATCATTTAAAATAGAAATTTAAGATAAAAGTTTCCGTCAAAAGTAACGGATATTTTGGTCATATGGCTTTAACATATACAACAAATCCAACATATAAAAACATTCAGTTATAAGTATGGTTATCGTACATTCATGATACAGTATAGTTAGCCATGTTTTAACTTAAGAAATGACTGCACATGAATTTAAGGGTGCACTCTGTGAATTTCCAGTGTTATGCTTACAATATCAGATTCCAAATGTGTTTTGCCTAAGAACTTGATAAGAGTGCAAGTTATTTCTTTAGTTAATCTGTGTAGTTTATACCTGTATGTTTCATATGCACTGTTCTAATTTTTGGGATAGGGAGCAATAGATTCTTTATATTTTGACCCCATTATCTTTGGGGATTTTGACTTTATTGCAGTTGCATTATGAACTGAGGTTGATGCTGCCAGCACTGTATGCAGAATTCACACTTTTTTGCATGTATAGCTTTGTATCCAAAATATGATCTATAGCTCAACAGAAATTTATTTAAGTCCCAATTTACTGCGGAGTCTGTCAGTGAGAGAATTGAATATATTTGCCCTGAAGGATATCAATTTGCAATATTGTGGGACTAAAATATGGCAGTTTCATCCAGGCACCACTTACTTTATTCCATTTCTCTTACTATGGTAAACAGACAAGTTTTATAGCTCAGATTATGCATGAACACAAGTGTATTCCTTAAGAATACGATCATCGGGATTGTAACGCCATGTAGTGAGGCAGAATTCTACTGAACTACATGGCGTTAAACCAACAAGATTACCCTATGTATAGTCACTGGCAAGAGAACTTCAAATTCGACAAGCATGTTATGGTTTACATTGTTACATTATGTAATGAGCAGTTTTCTGTGTAACCTTTTAATTGCAGTTTTAATTTGCTCATATAAAATGCATTTGGACAGAGCTTGTTGAACATCCAGGAGAGTAGAACATGTACTTTCAGTGTGTACAAGAAACCACCAGTGGATGGTGAGCATATAGAAATGGATTTCTTGAAGATGCGAAAACTGTTAGGCTTTTGTTATAGGCAGTGTAGGTCTGTATACAGTACGAGGGGCATTCAGGTTCTAAGGTCTCCAATTTATTTTCTCAGGACTGGGAGCAGATAGACACATGTGGTCTAGTTTAAAATACGCGTGCACGCTTTGTGAATGCATGACAGAGATGGCAGCACTGTATGGCACACAGAACTCTAGTGGTGGCGGCGAGAGTGAGGAGTGTTTTTGATACCTAAAATTGTGATGTTTTCGTTACAAGAACAGCGAGTAATCATTCGTTTTCTCCACTTGCGTGGTGTGACACCCATTGAAATTCATCTCCAGTTGAGTGAGACACTTGGTGATGGTGTCATGAATGTGAAAAATGTGCGTTCATGGGTGCAACAGCTCAAAGAAGGCCGAACATCATGTGGCAACGAACCAAAACAATCTCGGCATCGCATCAGCCGGTCTGACAGCATGGTCGAGCAAGTTGAGAAAATTGTTTTGGAGGATCACCGATTGAGTGTGGAAAACATTGCCTCCAAAGTTGGCATTTCTGTGGAATCTGTGCACACAATCCTGCATGAAGACCTGTGAATGCGGAAAATGTCCTCCAGGTTGGTGCCAAGCATGCTGGTGGATGACCACAAGGCTGCGCGCATGACAGTTTGCCAGGCGATGTTGACACGTGATGAAGGCATGAATGGGACTTTCTTTTCATCAATTGTGACAATGAATGAGACATGGAAGCCGTTTCTCAATCCTGAAACATAGCGCCAGTCAGCTCAATGGAAGCGCACAGACTCACTGCCATCAAAAAAAATTTTGGGTAAGCACCAGTGCTGAAAAAATGATGGTGGCCATGTTTTGGGACAGTGATGGCGTAATCCTTACGCATTGCATTCCAAAGGTAACTACGGTGACAGGTGCATCCTACCAAGATGTTTTGAAGAACAAGCTCCTTCCAGCACTGCGAGAAAAACGGCCGGAAAAGGCTGCATGTGTGCTCTTTCACCAGGACAATGCACCAGCGCATTGGACGTATGCAACGCAGCAGTTTCTTCGTGAAAACAACCTTGAAGTGGTTTCTTATGCTCCCTACTCACCTGACCTGGCTCATAGCGATTTTTGGCTTTTCCCAACGATGAAAGACACTCTCCGTGGTCGAACATTCACCAGTGCATCAGTGATTTTCCAGTGGTCAAAACAGACTCCTACAAAAGCGTTCGCAGTGGCCATGGAATCATGGCGTCCACGTTTTGAAAAATGTGTATGGCTGCAGGGAGATTACATTGAAAAGTGACAGAAGTTTAAAATTTTTTGTTTGATTATTGTGTGAGAAAAAAATCGGAGACCTTAGAACTTGAACACACAACGTATTACAGATTTGTACCAGGGCCAAGATATCAGTTTTACAGACAAGTTTTCTAATATTCTTATCTCATGGAAAGAAGCATAATATACGAGTATAAGCATAGAAGTGGGTTACGCACTTTCATGACTTTAAGAAAGAAGTTCTATCTACATCTGTTTTCAGATTTTATGATGAGGGAGAATTTCTCACTGCAAAGAAACTTTCTTATAAATTTTGATACAGAATGTATTATAGTGGTTTTAAATCATCAGTATACAAAATTTTGAAAAGCACTGGGTTCAGGTAGGGGAAAACCATTGGTTAACGTAATATTGTGGCTGCTCAAACTGTTCCTAGGATAGTTCACAACCTCAGAATTTCAGGATATGAGCATCCTATACTCTATTTAGACAGTAGGTTCCTGACTTTTTTTTTTGCAAGTGTCCCAATTTTGGTTTTCACCCCCTTCCCCATTTTTGATTCAAATAAATTTATTTGTATGTTTTATAATATTTTTATGATATAAATTTGTAGTATGTTTTTACTATATTATTGTTCACAATCATATTATTTCTATAAAACACATGAGCCATCACACTTTTTTAACAAATTAATAAGTATCATGGTCCATTGGGTGCAACAATTTAATATTTAGTAAGGCCTTTATATGTTTTGGCTACTGTTGGCCATTATTATAAGGCAAACCAGCACTATAAAGGCAACACTTTACATGTATGATAAGCACATGTACCATTATAAATCAGGATATATTAAAATACTAATGCTATTAAAACAAAGTTCCAAATCTCAGTTCTCAATTGCAAGGTGTTTATGTAAATTCAAAATCACGTAGTTTAGTGTAGTAAAACAAATGAATAGAAGAGCTAATTACAATATGACATGAGCCTATTTTTAAAGAAAACTGTTTACAAGCTTGTAAAAAAAAAAGTAAAGCTATGGCTGTACCACGCCATGAAGGCCCATAGGGTTGTGAGACATTGAGGGTCCCACACTATCTAGACAATTGGCTCAAAGATGGCGATAAGGTTGTCAGCCTTACGCGCCGGCTGCACTTTACTCCCCAGGAAAATTATTTAATTAATTCCTGGTACCCATTCTGTTAGAGGCTGAGTAAACCCCAGGGCCTAGTGCGGCTGGAAGGATTAGGTCAACTGAAAAAAAATCCAATGACCTTATTGGGACTTGAACCCGCGACCTTCCGGCCCCTCAGCCAACTACTGGAAATAATATATACCAGTCTGCTTCTGGCTCACAGG